AATAGTCTGTGGGATTGCTGCTATGGTGATCTTATTATATCTTCATCAATATTCAAGATTAAGAGGAAAGGTCCTAAAAGAAAGAGTTTTTATTTGATTAAAATCTATGGTGTCAATATTTAATTTGGGATATGTCGTGAATAGTTTGCCTTGATTAAAGGGAATTAAGGAATTTCAGTCAGGTGGCAATTTACTCCAAATCATCCTCAACACACATAAACACAAGTATTAATTTTTTATTATTGAATCATAAAACGATACAAGCAGTGCAGTCATATGCCAACTGCAAAAAACTTGTGCACACTACAAAAATAGTACTTTTGAACATAAACTTGAAGAGCTATGATTATTTTAGGGTACATTTACATTCATATACTCAGTACGAACACACGAAAATACCATCTTCATTGAGTCATCATAACCCATTTAGTCTTAGTACATCTAACCCTTAAAGTGGTGTTAGACTACTCAATGGGCTAGAAGTACAACTCAATGTGCCATGATAACCCAACGAGTATGGTATTCTCATGTACTTAAACTGAATATATAAAATTATTTTAACCGGATCGTGCTTATGAGTTAGCTAGGATATATGGCACCCAAGCCACATGCATATCCAGGCTCACCAGCTACAGTTTAAAGTGAGGCAGGGCACGGCCGCCAATTTGCCCAACAACTCTGTAATGCTTCATAAACTCTTCATAAGAGGTGATCCTGTATATGGGGGGACTGCTATCAGACAGAAGCTCCTTGATTGGTCCACATGGCTTAGTTCTATCCTTAGCAGAAGGAAGGAAAAAAGATACAGCTGATATTCTTGGCCTGCCAAGCGGGGTAGCCAGTACTCTGTGCTCCACACTCATGAACTTGTCATTGCTAAGCAACTGCAAATAATGCGTAGTTTAGACTTACATAAATATTACTAGACTAATGGCTAGTTGATTAAAAAATTAATTAGTGATATGATGCGGAGATCGAGCCTACCTGCATAAAGTCACCGATGTTCGCCACAAAAGCTCCGTCCACCTTGGGCACATCAACCCATTGATCATTATGGAGAACTTGGAGGCCATTGCTCTTGTCTTGTAGGACCAAGGTGAGAAGGGAGGGGTCCGAGTGTTTGATTGTGCCTAGAGTCAAATCGGGCTCAGGGCAAGCTGGGTAATAGTGACCCGATAACTTGATAGATTTCAAGTACCCGGTGCTCGACAGGTGATTTTTACTGAGCCCCAACGCTTCTGACATTAATTCAGATAGCTTTTCCTGCAAATCGATCATGTTTTTCATATACTCCTTCATTTCGTGCCTGAAAAAACACACGTAAAGTGAACAATCTAGTTAGAGAACATTTTCCGTATAATATATATACGTAATAATAAAATTAGATCAAATTAATATGGTTGGTTAGATGATCTACTAGCTGATCTAGAAATTATTAAGCACACCTGCACAATTCAGGAAGTGCATCAAAATCCCACTGATCATCTGCAGCTCTGCAGGACAAAGTGTCCTTCCATTCAGCTGGTACTGGTTGTGCACGCCCTTTGATATCTCCGCTGCTATAATAATTCACCGTGCGACTAAAGTCACGTGAGTACCACTCCATCTTGGCCTCCTGGGGCTGCTCATGGAACCTTCTTATACTTTCCACCATCTCCTCCATTACAGCAACTGGAACTCCATGGTTAACTATCTGAAAGAAACCCCACGTAGCGCATGCATATCTCATTGCATTGACCATCTTTACTCGCCGGTCATCGTTCTCGTTAAACCCTTCGAGATCGATGACTGGGATTTCAACTCTATCAGCGCCGTTTTTCTGCGGAGTTGATGAGTTGTTTGCACGACACTCCGGTGGGTGGATGAAGAACCTAGGAATGTGGGTCACCCCAGCATCCACGAGGCCTTTGACACCGATTTTGAGGTCATCAAACTCGTACAATTCTTTTTCAGCGGCGGTGTAATCGACAAGTGCTGGTGCCATCTTCACTTGAATTGTTGGTATGCAATTAGTTAAGGGCCCTGTCCTATTTATATACACTGCCTCGCCTCATACTAGATATGCTGGTTGTATTAAACAAATATTAATTTTATATAGCTTGCTTTCCACCTGAAATTTGTTATAATTTTATAAAGCTAAGGCAAGAGTCTGGAATGCTGACCCAAAAAAGTCAAAAAAGGCAAGAATCTAGAACCTGTACGTACACTAATGCCTACAGTTAAGCAAATGCCTTTAGGGATGAGAAATAGTTTTTGAGTTTCCTAAGGGAGGTTTCAACTCAAAATCACTTGGGAGCACACTAAAGACATGATAGGCCAATCCAACTGACACTCTATTGGTAATGGAAGATTATTTTCTTATGTTTGGTAATGCTTAGGAAGTAACTAGGAAATATCATTTTAGTTCATTTCTCATCTTCAGTTCGTGTAGGAATTTGAATCAACTTTTGTTTAGTTTTCCAATTATACCCCTGTATTAAAAATATGAGGAAATATAAATGTAATTAATGCTTGCTTTAGTATGTTTAATTGTTAGTAGGGGTAGATTAGTCATAAACAAGTGAAATTAATGTTTGCCTTGGTAAGAGAATCCCCAATTATGCTCTATATTTTAGTTAAAATTTAGCTAAGGAAGTGATTTGAAGAGCTCATTGTGGATGTTTTAAGAAGGGAAAATGAAACTCAAGGTGGATGGAGTGTTTCATTTTCCCTCCTATTTTCCTCATAGGCTGGACATTTTTTTCTTGATTAAGTTTAGACTTTCAAACATGAAAATGTTAACAGTTTTGTCCCTTTTCTATCAGCCACATGCAACCATAGGTGCGCAAAAGCCATCCTCTCTAGGTGTAGAAAAGTTTTCTTTCTCTATACTATTGTCGGTTTACAAAATTCTTCTGTGTAGTACAGGTGACATTGTTGAATTATTAAGAAGCTTCTCAACTCAATCAACAACAGTAATTCTAAACAATGACGAGGCCATAAATTTGTCCTATTGAAAGCGAGAGGCCCATAGTCTTTAGAGCATCCACAATGATGCTCTCTATTTCTTAGCTAAAATTTGGCTAAGAATATAAGAAAGCTATTTTAGGAGCTCTCTAAAAAATTTCAACTCCAACCATACTCCCTAATTTGAAGAGTCATAAATGCTATAACTCTTTTTTGATTGGTCCATCTCTATTAAAAAATAAAATAAAAAATGGTTAGCATTAAATAAAAGTTTGAATTGAAATACTCATTAAATAAAACAGCATTAAATTATAGAGAGCCACTAGGAGTCCTTTCTCTCTCCTCAGATTTAGGAGCTCCTAGAGGACTCCCTATTTTAGGAGATGGATAGGGAGCGTGGTTAGAGTTGTATTTTTATCATTCCTCCCTAAAATTTGTCTAAAGAGGTGATTTAGAGAGCACATTGTGGATGCTCTTAATATATGTTTTTAAGTGAAGGAAGCTTCCCTTTCAATACATGATTAACAATACTTTTATAAAAGAGACAAAAAAATAAAATACATATTCAATTTCCAATGAGTGATGAAGGCAGTAGAAAGGAACATTGCAAACAAGCCCCCTTATGTGGAAAATAGCGCAAAACCCCACCTAACAAAGAATGCACGAAGCAGCCATCATTCACTCATTTCGACAAACATTTTCCCCACCAACCGCCCCCTTAAATGAATTATTGGGCACAGCTCAGGGACAGAAAATGTTTGTTTGTTTTTTTTTGGTCAAGGGAACTCTATTCATTTTGGTCAAGGAAAGCTCAATTCAAATGCAGCTCAACACCAACAAATAAAGCAGGTCCAAATATACAACAAAAGCTCATAAAACATTAAACAAAAAAGCCATAGATCTAGAACACAGGAGCAGCCGCGCCACATAACAAGCCAATAACACCACCAGAGCAAATCCACCAGCAAGGGGCAGGAAAAAATGTTAAATATAGAGATTGATGAGTGGCGGCATTTACCCCTTTAACCCCTTCTTCTTTTCCTAATTTAATTTCATGAATCGCATTTGAGTTGTATTTTTGTTAATTAAATAGTTCTGCCATTTTATTTGATATCTGTAAGATTGGGAAATCAAAAAAGAAGAAGAAACAACCAACTAAAACAATGGTTATGTCTATGAACACTTGTTAATTATGGTTATGTTCATGAACACATGTTAACTGTTGAGAAATATAATGATGATACACATTAAGTTAAAGTAGTGAGTAAAAATATACAATTCGTCCCTTTGAAAAATCCCCATCCCCTTAGAAATGTCCAGTTGCCATGTGCCATTTTGACTTTAGGACTAACCAGTTACAAAACTCAAGTACTTGTAGGGCATCTTGATGCGTGCATGGTGGTGTGCAATTTACTTTAAAATAAGCAAAAGCTTTTGACATAATTTGTGAGTTTAGTGTAACTTTTGAGAATTAAAAAAATGCCCTTTGACATGAAATAAAATCACAACAAACCACGACGAACATGCGTAATTTAAATAAATAAATAAAAAGCCACGAACTACATGCATGTTGAAATGTAATCAAATATTTTAAGGTTTATATAGATCGCCTTTTCAAACTATATTACTTTATTTAACTTATCGGTGCGAATTCAAACTCAGAATTTTAAATATGGAGCTAAATACATGGTCTTACTAATCATTTGAGTTAACGTACAAAACTTTTAAATTTGGGTGACACCACAGTGAAAAAGTGGATCAAACTCTTCTCATTTCCCAAGTGCATCCCGATTTGATTCACATATTAATAAGACATGATGTTATAGCTTATAAATCAATTTATTATATGTAATAGCTTTGGGATGTTTGTGCAGCCCTTTATTTATTATTATAACTGAGAGGGATGATCAACAGATCATATCATACACAAATTCTTCAGAAAAGTAGAATTACATTATTACCAGAGAACACAACCGAACCGCAACATATAACCACAAGCCTCAGTGCAGCTCGGAAATAAGGAAGCACGAAATTACCATCTTATCCCTTAAAACCTATAGTTTGTAACGGTTCATGTATTCTCCAAATAGAACTTCTTTGTAAATTGCTGGATTGTCTTCGGAAATAAGCTCCTTTATCGGCCCATATGGTTTCTGGAGGTCGTCGGTACCAACAAAACATGCAATTGATGTACGAGGCTCGAGGGTCGCTGGCATCAAAACTCTGTGCTCTACACTCTTGAACTTGCCATTAGTAACAATCTGTAAAATTACGTCAAATAATTACGGACTATAATATCGATAAATATACATGTGTTATAACTTGAATGAATGGGAAGAAAACATCTCATTGGGTGTAGAAAAATAAAGTAAAAGTTAAAAATAGCTATAGCAGTTACATTACCTGCAACATGTCGGCAAGATTGGTAAGCAAAGCTCCCTCAACTGGGGGCACGTCGATCCAAACATTGTCATGAAGAATTTGCAGGCCGCTGCTGTCTTGGAGGAGCAAGGTGAGGAAGCCGAGGTCGGAGTGCCTGGTACCGCCTAGAGTCAAATGGGGATCGGGGCAAACCGGGTAATAGTGGCATGCCAGTGACCTCGATTTGAAGCACCTTAGGTTCTCAAGGTAATCACTGTCCAGCCCTAAAGCTTCCGAAAATAATTTGGATAGCTTCTCTTGCACTTTAACGATGTATTTCATATACTCGCGTATCTGCTCTCTGTGAAATAAGCGTATAAACGAGTTTTAGAGTAAGCTCATATTTGAAAAGATCATCATTTAAAGGGGGAAAACCAAATTTTCTATATAAAAAAGAATCATATTAGTTAGTTTACAAAGTTTTAATAAGCAAATTTGGTGAGCGTAGCATAACGCATTTACCTGCAAACTTCGGGGATGGCTTCAAAGTTACATTCATCTTCTAGGACCTTGCATGACAAGGTGTCTCTCCAATCAGCCGGGGTCGAAACCTTCAATTCTCCATTGCTGAAGAAGTTGACCTTCTTCTTAAAATCGCGCGAATACCACTCCTCCTTGGCCTCCTGGGGAAGCTCATGAAAACCTCGAACACCCTTGAGCACCTCATCCATGACAGCAATTGGAATTCCATGATTCACAATCTGAAAGAAACCCCATTCTTCAGCTGCTTTTCGAAGGTCGTTGATGATCTCTTTTCGCCTCTCGCAGATGTCGACATCCTTGAGATCAATGACAGGAACTTGGAGGTTGGAGTCAACGCCATTGTTTTGGTTGGGGGAAGGTAGGGTCTCTGGAGGGTGTCTGAACATTCTTGGGAGCTTGGTCACCCCAGCGTCTACCAGGCCTTTGACACCAGCTTTCGTTTCATCGAATTGTTTCAATTCCTTCTCCAGCTCACAGTCCACAACTGCCATTTTGAATTCTTTCTTTTTGATTAGTGGAAAACAAGTTTAATGGTTTGTGGCAATGCAAGTTTATCTTGCTACTTATATAGAGATTCAAGAGAGAATAAAAGAATTCAAACGTTCTTTTGTTTAACTTGGAAAAAAGATGAAGATTGTTTATACCAAAATGAACAGCCAATAAGCATCGGACACGTGGACCAAACTGGAGCTATGGAAGCCTTCGGCACCTAGCTTCGGTACCGTTCCTACCGACCGCACGATTAGGGCAACTTCACCCCCAGAGACACGTGGCAGTCCCACAATTGGAGTCCACAGTCTCACATCGAAATTCTAAACAACTTGCACACCTCCCAAGGCCTATAAAAGAGGACAATTATCCCAACTTGGAGGTAATTAATCAGAACTTACGGCATACTGCCTATTGATCTGTAGTTCAATCTTACTAAATCCATACTTACTCAAGCATCGGAGAGCCTTCGGCTGGTACTACACCGGTGTCCTAGGTCTTACCGAACGTTTGTTATCTTGCAGATCGAACGCCCTATTGAGGCCCAGAGCATACCGAAGGCCCAACATCACTAAGTTGCCCGGGAAAGTGTCGAACCATTTTTCTGCGTTAACAAATATAATGATGAAGCCGGCGTTGGAGAAGTCATGAATCTTACACACATGCACTGACAATAGTTAATGTTGTTAAATAAAAAAGGCAATCGACAAAAAGAATCGAACATCAAATCCTAGCTAAAATCTACACCAACTACAACTTTTGGGGGGTTCCATATATATATATATATATATATGGCAGTGGGTGGGTTGATGCGTTCTTAGAGTCTCTTGTTCTTGGAGAAAAACAAATAAAGTAAAGAAAAGCCGGCCTTCTTAGAATTGACTAGAGCCTATTTAGACAACATTTTTCGCCAACCTTTAGCTGACTAGATGTGTCAGCTGATGTGTGCAATTTTATATACTTCAACTACGATGAGATGTGTGGTTGAAAGCTTTCAAGACACCATGAAAGTTGTGAAAAGAGCCCCTATGTGACATCATACGTTGAATGTAAATAATACATGTATTGAACTAGTGTCAACAACGAATAACTCGTAACTAGAATTATATAAAGGAAAACCTTATAGCATTTTTATATGATTGTGATAGGCTACCCGATTTAGAAACAAATATTACAAACACCTTTTTTTTCAATTCACGCATGCACCGCAATTGATACCATTATTCTTACCTAATTGGGCCCCAATAGGCAACTCATCATCGTTGTCGATGAGCTCCATAATTCTTTTATTCTTCTTAGTCTTGTTTAGTCTTATTTTATTTTTTAACTAGGAAACAAATTCAAGGACAAGAGATTTTGCTTCTCAACAACTATGTACAAACTATTTTCATTTTCATAAACCACTTCCATTCTCATCAACCTTGCAACCCTTTACAACATGAATACCAAAAGCCATCAAAGAATCTCAGTTCAAATCTTCACCAACCATTTGAAAAGTTAGCCTCATAGCAATCGATGACTACCTTTAGCTTTATTTGAAATTGGTAAAACAAGTTGTCTTCAGTCATGAATCATACACCTTCATTTGAACACAGCTTAAACATTACCACATCATGGTTTCATTTTCAAATAACACTATTATTATAGAAATTTTTTTTAGCCAAATTGGTCACTGTGTGTTTCCCAAAATTTATAATTTATAGACATTCTATTATCTTTGGTTAAACGTAATTTTTGTTTTTATTTTTCTTGGAAGCACCTTCAGTCTTCTTCCTCTAACTCAACGAATTAGGATATATACAACAAATTAGGGTAAATCATTAGTTGAAATTGAAATTGTGAGTTATACCAAATTACTCTGGATTGCAATAATGCACAAGTCATGACATGCGGTACAAGTATTGGTTTTTATCTTTTTTTCGTACTGAAGTACTTGGCCACTTGAGATATTCCCAACTGGAATGCTTGCTAATGGAAAACTATCTGTAGAATAAGAGAAGAAAATTAAGAAAACAAAACAAAATCCTTTTCCAATAAGTAGCTCAAGAAAAATTACTTCAGTAGTTTTGCAATCAAACAAGATGACCACAAGGCTTTCATTCTGTAATATGTAGTTACAGGCTGATGGCCAATACCTCCGCGTATACTGATAAAGTCATCATCCGAGTCAGACTCCAGAATACTCACTGAGTCAAACCAAGCTTCCTCTTGGCAAATTACTGCAAATGAATAACATTCAAAATATGAGATTCAAGAGCTATGAATTTTCTTGCCAGCACTATTGGTTGAAATTGAAAGATAGTTGAAATCTGATGAAAGAAAGCACACACCGTTCGAATCATATTGACTGTGGTGCCATTGCAGCTGGGTGAGATGGAATGTTGAATTAGAAACCTTAGATCTTCTGTGAGTAGTTGTTGCACCATTCTCAAAGTCCACATGAACAAACTCACTGACAACATAGTCACTCACGCGAGCTCCTGCATCACTATTTATTTTCTTAAAACTGGTATTTCTTTTCTTGGTATCATCTGAAGCGGAGCAGTTGCCTTTCTATGGCGTTTTTGATGACCCGCTGACAGTGTTTTTTCTGTGATTTAATTGTTTTGGATGGGGTTGACATGCAACCAGCCATTGTAGCTTTTAAATCATGCAAGTCCCAACTACAATGATGCCTTCATCAAGTCCACTCCAACCTGTGTGCCTACAAATGAAACAAAATACATCAGAGAAGATTAAAGGACTTCTGGGAAGCAGTTTCTATGATCACAAATAATCATGAGAACGCAATCAATTCTTTCATCATGGGACTGTTTCAGTAATTTATGGCTCAAACACTAGGCCAGTTAACCAACTTAACACTTGGAAATTATTAGAATCAAACGGATGACACACAGAGGTCTCTATGTTTAATGAGTATGGTTGCACTATTAGAAAGCACCTTGGTTAGAAGCGACTGGTAACTTGAAGCACTACACTAGTTATTCAATCAATTTGTAGATGAAAATTTGTGCAATCATCATAAAAATCAAATGTTTGATTCAAACCTTCTCAAACAAAGTGGGATGTCTCTTTCCCAGTCCCATAGATAAGCCACTTATCTATCTCAAGCCCCAAATCTTTAGTTCTGGCTCACTAGAACATAAACATGATCAGAAAACAAAAAGATAGTACAACCACCTCAAGAACAACTCAACAAAACCTTAGTCCCTGTACTTGCTATTATCTACCTTTAGTTGCTATTATCTATGACAAGAAGCAAAGCACGACTATGTGTTTCTGTGTCTGTATATTCCCCAATTCTGATTCAGTCAGGATTTCCAACTAATCCAACTTAGGCCAAACCAGATTCCTAACAATTACAGACTAAAATCTCTATTGCTCCCTCTAGTAATAACTTTTCAACCACATCTTCCACATCTTTCTCTTTTCAGGATGCAAAATACATAATCAAAACCCAGTTTTCGTATAGCGGCCATCAGAAATTGAAGCGATTTCATGATTGAGCTAAAGACAAAAAAAGAAAAAAAAAAAAAAAAAAAAAAAAAAAAAGGACCCGCCTAGACCCGCCTAGGCGGCCGCCTAGCGCCTAGGCCGATTTTTTCCGACAGCCTAACTGAACAAAAGCACAGTTTATAGGTTTTGAGCTCTGATTATGAACATCATTACCGAATTTAACATTACAGAACAAAATCCACCACCTGTTCTAGATGTCTGTGCATCATAGATTTTCCAAAATAAACAAAATATAAAGATAATCTGGTTAAAACTACAAGTAATCTGAATGCATTCCACTAAAAAGCAGGAAGCAGAATAATTGGAGACTGAGCTTAGTGAAAAGAAAAACCTTGGGTTGAAGAAACTATCCCACCAGTCAGAGTCTGCGGCTTTGGGCTCGACTGGAACCAAGCTTAAGTTTTTCTTCAATTTCCTATCTTTCTTGCTTTTCTTTGATTTCTTGGGAGACGCCATGAGAGTTCAAATGAGGAATTGGCCACATCTTTTTTGGCCTTGAACTTGAAGACTTTTGATGGGAAGTGATTCAGTGAAGCGAGCCAGGCAGCGAGGGAAATGTAAAGCTCGTATAGCCATTTGTGGCCTTTTTATTTCTAATAAATAGTATAGCCGAACGGCTATACTATTTAAATATTATATATTTAAAAACGTATAGCCGTTTGGCTGTACTCTTTACATATAATATATTTTAAATGTATAATTTAAGAAGTAAGATGGTAGTTCAACTTATTTTTTGACCTTTTTAAAAAAAAAAAAAAAAAAAAAAAAAAAAAAAAAAAAAAAAAAAAAAAAAAAAAAAAAAAAAAAAAAAAAAAAAAAAAAAAAAAAAAAAAAAAAAAAAAAAAAAAAAAAAAAAAAAAAAAAAAAAAAAAAAAAAAAAAAAAAAAAAAAAAAAAAAAAAAAAAAAAAAAAAAAAAAAAAAAAAAAAAAAAAAAAAAAAAAAAAAAAAAAAAAAAAAAAAAAAAAAAAAAAAAAAAAAAAAAAAAAAAAAAAAAAAAAAAAAAAAAAAAAAAAAAAAAAAAAAAAAAAAAAAAAAAAAAAAAAAAAAAAAAAAAAAAAAAAAAAAAAAAAAAAAAAAAAAAAAAAAAAAAAAAAAAAAAAAAAAAAAAAAAAAAAAAAAAAAAAAAAAAAATCTGCAATGATTGAGAGGACGCAAACGCAATCTTACTAGTTAACGCAAAAGGGTAAGGGATAAGTCGCCGCAGAAACCCCGTTTAAACACGATTACAAAAATTCAGGATGCTCGTTATTTTGAATTATTCACGATCAACTTCAATAAATGCTAGCGAAAAACACAACATTGAATGCACCAATCTTTCCAATATCAAAGGTTGTTAGATTAAAAAAGCTGCGCAGGAAAGTGCAAGAGCGGGAAGAGATGGAGTACAAAGTAGTTTTTTTGCTATTATTGTTTATCCTAGGGAAAGAGTATGAACTCTAATCATTTAAGAGTAAGAAATATAATATCCACAAATAAATAAGAGAAACAATAAATAAACAAAAATAATACGTTGAAGCCGCAATCGAACCAAGCTATAGAGACCAATCATAAGCAGTCAGCAGCAGAACGCTTAAAAGCAATGGAGCAGCAGCAGCTTCCATACATAAACAATTATTCACAGATATTACTGAGCCAGAGCACAGTGTTTTTAGCAATCCTATCAGTCCACAAATTCTTTTCTTTGTGTTTAAACTGAATAGTTAAAAAAAAATAAAAACATAAAAGGAAAGATATCCTTTAATAACCAAGCCACCACCTTATCGTCAGTCCTGTGTATCACCAGCCCAAAACATATTTGGCTTAAGATCTCTCCCGCCCCCACCGCACACACGCTTTGGTCACTGGTAACGCTGACACCGGCAAATAGCGAAAATGAGGTCTTGGAAATCAGCGCGCACGATGAACACCACACAAATTACTTAACTATGGTTTTAAGGCAAATCATCCGTTGGGGGGAAACCACAAGGACAGAACAATGTGATGACCCAATAACTTTATTCTTCTGTGTAAAAACCTGAATTCTAAAACTTGTAGCCCATCAATTCTAAGTGGCACCTCTGCATCCACCATATTTAACTCTCCGACTGAATAGAGTCGGGTGACCCATCGGCACCAACAATTAATTATTTCAAAACACACAAACGCAAAAAAAAAGGCTTCTATTCAAGAAAATCCCACAATAAACTATCTTTCAGGACCATGACTAAATAGGTATCATCCAACTAGTGCGCTGTAGTTATCGACTGTCAAAAAGACCTGCAAAAATCCAAAAACCTTTGCAGTTGTAGTTTCGTCAAACAGTAGTGAACCAGTTATAAGGGCCCAGCTCCAAAAACTGACTATATATATATATTATACTCATCACATATATAAAGGTTGACTTGTGAATATGCTCAAAAGACACAAATAATTCCAATTACTAACGGACGAAATTTCGGAACTGGGAACGCCGTGTCAAAGCAACCAAAAAAAAAAAAGTACCTAACCAACAGCAAACGTGATATGTACATTATCTGAGCCCAACACCCTAGAATGTGTAGAAAAGCACTCACTGGTGGCGATCGTACTTTTTGATAAGGGTATGGCGTTTCAAACGAACAGATATCGTCAGCGAATGTTGGGGGCATCATTTCCCCCTCTGGGACCACCTAACCACAGAATCGACGACTTCTAAGTGGCACTTTTTCACGTCTTGTCTTGATCGGACCTTCCTCCACCAAACTCAACTGGTCTTGACAAGCAAGAGGACGGTGACCTAGCAACTGGCATTAGGCTTATAGGTAAAGCAATTGCCACGAATTAAAACCATAGACTACAAAATCGAGAAATGCGACTCGGGATAATCAAACCCAAATTGAACATAACAGAGGCATTACCTTTCTTCTTTCTCCCTCTTCTATAATAGCAAAGTTACTGGGTCGTCTCAACTCATAGTGCAAAACGGGGAATAGTAAAAATAATTGTACATCATGTTCTCGTATGAGTATAGTCTTTATTTTCAGCTTGACCAACTCAGAAAACCTCTGTATTACTATATGTATCTAGGGGCTTTAGTACAAAGTCGATCATTAGCATCGAATTCTTTTATTCTACGATGAGGCTGCCACATTCTTTTTGTGGAAACTGTAATGAGTGCGCTTTTTTGTATCTCTTTTTCTTTTTTTCTTTCTTTTTCTGCCCATTCTCTTTGCTCTTGACAACGTTGTGAACACAGGAAGATGCAGCCATCAAAGCAGGTAAGCAGGAGTCATGGATTAGCCCATTCAAAAAAGACCCCAAGCGAATTTTACCAGGATCGTCTGATTGTATACCTTTATCTTAGAATTTGAATTTATCTTCTGTTGCGCTTCTTCGTCTTAATGACACAACCCCAAGCCTTTTATGAATCTATACTTTTTCATTAACAATTTTTTCCGGGTTTAATTTAAACGATTATTCTCAATCATCTTAAAACGTAAACATTGATAATGGGTAATTGTTAAAGGACCTTGCTGGTTGAAAATCACTTTCCCATTTTTGTTATTCATTAGTGTTGTTTTTTTTGCGTGGTCACCAAGACTTAAGAAAAACTTACCCAAACTCCTTTAGAAGTCTTGAATTTGCGACTCATAATGAGGCGTTACATCGCGGACCTTAAAATACACAATTCAGAGCTATAAGATAGACAATCTTTTCACTGCATCATTTACGTGTCGATTAAATATCGGCTTTTCACGCAATAACTTACCGGTAAGTTATAGGCTTTTCGCTCAATCATTTACCTGACGATTAAATATTGGCTTTTCACGCCATAACTTACCGGTAAGTTATAGGCTTTTCACTCCATCACTTACATGATGGTTAAATATTGGCTTTTCACGCTATAACTTACCGGTAAGTTATTGGCTTTTTGCTCTATCACTTACATATTGAGCGAAAAATTATCACACATGCATGCGCACTGATTTGATTGAAGTTGCCATTGTTTTTCGATCAATTTTAACATGCAAATACTAGTCATAACTCTAGGGGTTATTTTTTGTTATTTCAATCCCTAGTATGGACATGAATATATTAAATTAACAAAGACATAACTATTTTCGGTAGAAAGGTTAAAGAGCGTGCTGTTGAAATTGCCAAGGCCATAGATGACGAAGATGGGTTGATAGGAGCATTGAATGCCTTTCATAGGCACTTTCCTCACAGTAAATCTGAGGATAAACCCGAGTCATTGCCTGCTAGAAGTGGCTTATTTTCCATCAGTAGGTGTTTTGGCTATTCCCATTTCAGTACACATCCCACGGCCTCTCCTCCACATTTGTAAGTTGGAGCAGTTTCTCTCTGTAATGAGGCTGACTTGAGTACCCTATAACAGTAAGAAAAGAAAAGAATACCCACAGATTCTCTTGTAATGACTGCAAAAAGATTCAGTCTCTAAGCCCCAAGTTGTTAGTGTGTCAACTAGCTGAAAATGCAGTTTTGTTTTAGTACACAAAATTGTATTTACAGGCTCCTTTTGCTCTACCATCCCCAACCAACAAACCACCAGTGATAGTGACATGTACATTTATCTTCAAGTTCTCAATCTTGTTGTTGCTATAACAATAATTGTAATAGACGAAGAATTTGCTAAACAGTTCTGTCTTAGTTTGCTAGACCACAGTTTGTCATAAAACTGTGCCAAAAAAAAAAAAAAAAAAGACAAATATAATAAAAGAACAACTAAGGCAGCTTTGACGGGAAAAAAAAACAAAGACTAAGGGCGTTTGACTAAAACAACCAAAGTCATTCGAAGGTTGGAAAAAACTAAAAGGAGACAAGTCATATTTTTCCTTGCGTAGAGCTCATCGATATGAGTTTATAGACACGTAGTGGGCCCAAATCGCAGTTTTAACGAAGAAGTTACGGTCAGCGGAAGCACAGTGGCACAATTGTAAATATTTCAAGGTCAGAATTTTAAAACCCAGGTCAGCTTCTTTTTCTCTCTCTTTCTCCTACCACGACTCTCTCTCTCTCTCTCTCTCTCTCTCTCTCTCTCCTCGTCGCACAACAACATTTTCCGACGCTGAATCCGGCTTCGTCCGGCCACCGTTTTCGACGAAACGACTTGCAAACTTTTCCTCTCCTCCTCTACTTGACCCACCCAATTTAAAAAACCCGGGTCTCACCCAGGTGCAACCGCGAGATAAAATATATTTTTGGACTCTAATTTGGTCATTTGGGATCGAATCCTATTTATTAGATTTGTTAAGTTCGGTTTTGAATTTGTCGGTAGCCTGAAGGGATGTGGTTATAATGTGTTTGTGATTGTGTCGGGGCTGAAACCTATTTTAGATTGATGAATGATTGTGGATTGAGTCCTTACAACTACTTATGACTATGCCTGGAGGGTAGACTGTGCATGCTGAAGTGTGGAAATTTTAAACTGTGTTTTTGACAGGTTGAAAAATTTGGTTAAGTCCGTTTTTCAAGGGAGACTCTGCCGAAATTTCGGTACAAGTCTCGGCCCTCTTTTCCTTTGTTTTAGGGGAAGAGGACATTTGAAATCAGTAAGTGGGCCCGGTATCGGTTGGATGTCGAAAATACCACAGGATCCGTCACGGATTCCGAGGAATTCGGGGCGAGTCCTGTCATTTTATTTGTATTGTTATAGCTTGGTTTTTTCAAGCTTTATCTTTTAATTATTATTTTAAGTTTGAAATCCTAGTTGGGATGCATACGCCAGAGTTTCTTCGATACTGCGTGCTCGTTAGTGGAGGCGCACCAGATTGTCTTAATTTTGATGTTTGGTAAAGTATTGGCTTTTCACTCGATAACTTACCGGTAAGTTGTAGTCTTTTCACTGCATCATTTACATGTCGATTAAATATCGGCTTTTCACGCAATAACTTACCGGTAAGTTATAGGCTTTTTCGCTCAATCATTTACCTGACGATTAAATATTGGCTTTTCACGCCATAACTTACCGGTAAGTTATAGGCTTTTCACTCCATCACTTACATGATGGTTAAATATTGGCTTTTCACGCTATAACTTACCGGTAAGTTATTGGCTTTTTGCTCTATCACTTACATATTGAGCGTAAAATTATCACACATGCATGCGCACTGATTTGATTGAAGTTGCCATTGTTTTTCGATCAATTTTAACATGCAAATACTAGTCATAACTCTAGGGGTTATTTTTTGTTATTTCAATCCCTAGTATGGACATGAATATATTAAATTAACAAAGACATAACTATTTTCGGTAGAAAGGTTAAAGAGCGTGCTGTTGAAATTGCCAAGGCCATAGATGACGAAGATGGGTTGATAGGAGCATTGAATGCCTTTCATAGGCACTTTCCTCACAGTAAATCTGAGGATAAACCCGAGTCATTGCCTGCTAGAAGTGGCTTATTTTCCATCAGTAGGTGTTTTGGCTATTCCCATTTCAGTACACATCCCACGCCCTCTCCTCCACATTTGTAAGTTGGAGCAGTTTCTCTCTGTAATGAGGCTGACTTGAGTACCCTATAACAGTAAGAAAAGAAAAGAATACCCACAGATTCTCTTGTAATGACTGCAAAAAGATTCAGTCTCTAAGCCCCAAGTTGTTAGTGTGTCAACTAGCTGAAAAATGCAGTTTTGTTTTAGTACACAAAATTGTATTTACAGGCTCCTTTTGCTCTACCATCCCCAACCAACAAACCACCAGTGATAGTGACATGTACATTTATCTTTAAGTTCGGTTTTGAATTTGTCGGTAGCCTGAAGGGATGTGGTTACAATGTGTTTGTGATTGTGTCGGGGCTGAAACCTATTTTAGATTGATGAATGATTGTGGATTGAGTCCTTACAACTACTTATGACTATGCCTGGAGGGTAGATTGTGCATGCTGAAGTGTGGAAATTTTAAACTGTGTTTTTGACAGGTTGAAAAATTTGGTTAAGTCCGTTTTTCAAGGGAGACTCTGCCGAAATTTCGGTAGAAGTCTCGGCCCTCTTTTCCTTTGTTTTAGGGGAAGAGGACATTTGAAATCAGTAAGTGGGCCCGGTATCGGTTGGATGTCGAAAATACCACAGGATCCGTCACGGATTCCGAGGAATTCGGGGCGAGTCCTGTCATTTTATTTGTATTGTTATAGCTTGGTTTTTTCAAGCTTTATCTTTTAATTATTATTTTAAGTTTGAAATCCTAGTTGGGATGCATACGCCAGAGTTTCTTCGATACTGCGTGCTCGTTAGTGGAGGCGCACCAGATTGTCTTAATTTTGATGTTTGGTAAAGTATTGGCTTTTCACTCGATAACTTACCGGTAAGTTGTAGTCTTTTCACTGCATCATTTACGTGTCGATTAAATATCGGCTTTTCACGCAATAACTTACCGGTAAGTTATAGGCTTTTTGCTCAATCATTTACCTGACGATTAAATATTGGCTTTTCACGCCATAACTTACCGGTAAGTTATAGGCTTTTCACTCCATCACTTACATGATGGTTAAATATTGGCTTTTCACGCTATAACTTACCGGTAAGTTATTGGCTTTTTGCTCTATCACTTACATATTGAGCGTAAAATTATCACACATGCATGCGCACTGATTTGATTGAAGTTGCCATTGTTTTTCGATCAATTTTAACATGCAAATACTAGTCATAACTCTAGGGGTTATTTTTTGTTATTTCAATCCCTAGTATGGACATGAATATATTAAATTAACAAAGACATAACTATTTTCGGTAGAAAGGTTAAAGAGCGTGCTGTTGAAATTGCCAAGGCCATAGATGACGAAGATGGGTTGATAGGAGCATTGAATGCCTTTCATAGGCACTTTCCTCACAGTAAATCTGAGGATAAACCCGAGTCATTGCCTGCTAGAAGTGGCTTATTTTCCATCAGTAGGTGTTTTGGCTATTCCCATTTCAGTACACATCCCACGGCCTCTCCTCCACATTTGTAAGTTGGAGCAGTTTCTCTCTGTAATGAGGCTGACTTGAGTACCCTATAACAGTAAGAAAAGAAAAGAATACCCACAGATTCTCTTGTAATGACTGCAAAAAGATTCAGTCTCTAAGCCCCAAGTTGTTAGTGTGTCAACTAGCTGAAAATGCAGTTTTGTTTTAGTACACAAAATTGTATTTACAGGCTCCTTTTGCTCTACCATCCCCAACCAACAAACCACCAGTGATAGTGACATGTACATTTATCTTCAAGTTCTCAATCTTGTTGTTGCTATAACAATAATTGTAATAGACGAAGAATTTGCTAAACAGTTCTGTCTTAGTTTGCTAGACCACAGTTTGTCATAAAACTGTGCCACAAAAAAAAAACAAAAAAAATAAAAGAACAACTAAGGCAGCTTTGAGGTAAGAAAAAAAAAAACAATAAGGGAGTTTGACTAAAAAAAAAAAAGTAATTCGAAGGTTGGAAAAATAAAAGGAGACAAGTTGTTCGTTTGGAAAAAAAACGAAAAGGAGACAAGTCGCAGTTTAAGAGAGTCGGTAACGAAGCCAGGACATGTAAATTCAAGGTCAGAATTTTAAAACAAAAAAAAAACAGCTTTTTTTTTTTTTTTTTTTTTTCATCCCCGTTTTTTTTTTTTTTTTTTTTTTTTTTGGACAAACATTTGAGTGAATCCGGTGTGAGTGTGCCTCTTGCTTTTTCTTCCCTTCCCCGGGTTTGGTGCGTCTCCCCATTCTGCTCTTTGGTTGGGCTGTTTCTCTGTTCCTTTTTTTTCCTTGTTGGCGTTTGTTGCTTTTTTTTTCCTGATCTCAGCACCCGCTCTTGTATGAATGATGGTTGAGTTGCTAGGAACATCATTCATCATACTCTATAAGCTGACCTATGTTCGGGTACTCAGTGACTTGGCGTCAGGATTGTGGGACCCATCCTTACGCTATACAGCGTTTTGGACCAAATGTTGAGTAGTAGTTTGGTCTAGCTTGTTCCGTGTGTACACGGGTTCTGGATTCTTTGCGTCTCGCGGAGCAATCTTCTAGTATATGAAGCTTCTATGTTGTTTAGTTTAGGAGAGCTAGAGGCCTTTGACATAGAGATGTAAAGTGTGTGTGTCCCATATCCGTCCTCTTCTCCATCACGCCTTTTCCACCTGGAGAGCGCTTGGATTGATCACACGAACTATCGACCCAGGATCGCACGGATTCTGAGGCCACTTAGTGGGTTTTTTTGGAGAGCTAGCTCTCTCACTTTATTTTCTATTGTGTATTCTGTTCTATTGTTAGCTTGATGTGTTCGCTTATTTTTATGTAATATTTTTAAGTTGACATCCCTACGCTTGGACTGCCATACCAGCAACCAGGCTTCTTCGCACCCTATCATGCAATGATCCGTTAGTCGGAGCCCGCCGAAACCAAACGACTTTGCTGCTTAGCATTGACGTTTGGTAGGTTTCCACACCGATCTCGGCATTTCACTCGCGAAACCCTTACCCCAGCCGTAAGTTGTAGTCTTTTCACTGCATCATTTACGTGTCGATTAAAATATCGGCTTTTCACGCAATAACTTACCGGTAAGTTATAGGCTTTTTCGCTCAATCATTTACCTGACGATTAAATATTGGCTTTTCACGCCATAACTTACCGGTAAGTTATAGGCTTTTCACTCCATCACTTACATGATGGTTAAATATTGGCTTTTCACGCTATAACTTACCGGTAAGTTATTGGCTTTTTGCTCTATCACTTACATATTGAGCGTAAAATTATCACACATGCATGCGCACTGATTTGATTGAAGTTGCCATTGTTTTTCGATCAATTTTAACATGCAAATACTAGTCATAACTCTAGGGTTATTTTTTGTTATTTCAATCCCTAGTATGGACATGAATATATTAAATTAACAAAGACATAACTATTTTTCGGTAGAAAGGTTTAAAGAGCGTGCTGTTGAAATTGCCAAGGCCATAGATGACGAAGATGGGTTGATAGGAGCATTGAATGCCTTTCATAGGCACTTTCCTCACAGTAAATCTGAGGATAAACCCGAGTCATTGCCTGCTAGAAGTGGCTTATTTTCCATCAGTAGGTGTTTTGGCTATTCCCATTTCAGTACACATCCCACGGCCTCTCCTCCACATTTGTAAGTTGGAGCAGTTTCTCTCTGTAATGAGGCTGACTTGAGTACCCTATAACAGAAAGAAAAGAAAAGAATACCCACAGATTCTCTTGTAATGACTGCAAAAAGATTCAGTCTCTAAGCCCCAAGTTGTTAGTGTGTCAACTAGCTGAAAATGCAATTTTGTTTTAGTACACAAAATTGTATTTACAGGCTCCTTTTGCTCTACCATCCCCAACCAACAAACCACCAGTTGCTTTGTCCACAGCAGAAGCTGAATACGTGAGTGCTGCAGAAGCAACTTCACAAGCCAAGTGGCTAAGATTTGTGCTTAAGGATTTCGGTGAAGAACAAGTAGAAGGAACAGCAATCCTATGTGACAACACTTCTGCTATTGCAATGGCAAGGAACCCAGTTCATCACCAGAAAACAAGGCATATCAGTTGGAAATTTCATTTCATAAGGGAAGCCATTCAAGCAAAAGAAATTGAGCTAATCTACTGCAAGACAGAAGATCAAATAGCAGACATTTTCACCAAGGCTCTGCCTAAGGATCGTTTTGTTAGTTTAAGAAGACTACTTGGTGTGAAATCAGCTAAAGGATTAGAAGGGAGTATTGAAATGTAATCATTCAGCTGCTTTCTTATAGTCGAAGTCACCAAGCATTATTCCTCATTTTTTACGTCTATTTTAGATGTGATGTAATTAGAACCATTGGATCATAGTCCAGATGGATTCTCTAGCTTAGATTTGGTATGACAAGTGTAAGCACCTCATAGGGTGGCAGCTGTAATTTGGTTAGAGAAGAATCACTTCTCTCTCTCAGCTACCGAGCACACTATGTAAGCCAACTGTTTGTGAAAATGCAATAGAACAGTTTCCTCTCATTCTTTTCTTCTCCTTCTCTTGCAAAATCTTCAGATTACAAAACCTTCATAACCTAAAATACAAAACAACCATAGAATTCTAACACCGTCATGCCCCCAGGCCAACCAGTTACAATGCCAAGAAACCTCATCGCATGGTCAACAATTGTCCTCCAGGTCACACCAATCGTCTGATGTTTGAACGGTAGGAAGGGTCATAATGATGTTTGTACCATCTATGGCTCCACAACAATTGGGCAATCCAAAGGCTTCTTCAAGTTTGGACTTTATTTCTTCCATCCTGTTGGAATCAACTAGGAGGTCTGTTTTTTTTCTTATTTTGGTTTCTTAAATCGTATGGCTATCCTACGATTTTTTTTAATTAGCATGGCAGGGCGGCTATACTTATTTTTACATGTGATGTCTAATCGCTGGTGGCGTTAAAAATAGTACAGCTACACGGCTATACTCCGTGTTTTTACTTTAAAAAAAAAGGTACTGGCTCTTTTTTTATATTTAAAAATAGTATAGCCAACCGCTATACTCAGTTTTTTAAAAAAATTTAAGTTTACACGTGGACGCCCGGCAGCCGTGTGGCTGCTCTGTTTTTTTTCCAGTGAATAGTATAGCAGAGCGGCTATACTCGATTATTTTCTTATCTTTAGAAAATAGTATTGCCGGCCGGCTTTACTGATTTTTTTTTTATAAATTCACTGTAATAAATAGTATAGACGAGTGACTATATTCTTATATATATATATATATATGTACGTGTGTATTTTTCAATAATATATTTTTGTCCTATATACGTCACGTTTTTCAAAAAGTAAACGTATAATAGTCGTATTGTACATGTATGTACGTATTTTCTAATGTTTTACACACATTTTTTACAAAATTTTCAGTAAGACACAAAATTCACGTATTATACAAATAATTCTCACATATTATTGAATAAGAATAATATATGTTATAAAAATTATATTAAAATATTATACAATGGACGATTAATATCTACTTGGAATATGTTGAAACTAGCAAAAAAATAAAAACAATACGTCAATCACCTTCACTCAGGTCAACAAAAAAAATTATGCAGTGCAGACACTCTTTCTATGCCAAACTATCACCCTCGGCTTTGCAGTGCTGATGTCTGCAATGCCTTGAGAGAATGCATATCTTACTAGTTAAAGCAAAAGGGAGGGATAAGTGCCGAAACCAGTAAAATGATTACAAAATTCAAGGATGCTATGTTATTTTGAATTATCAAGCTCAACTTCAATAATCCGCTAGCAAAAAACACAACCTTGAATGAGCAATCTTTCCAATATCAAAGGTTAAAACATTAGAAAGAAAAACCTCGATTTTCGCTCGGCTATACTGGCATCTTTTCCCCTCGATTTTCGCTTATCAAGGCTTCAAGATCAGTTGGCTGCCTATATTCTATCTGTCATCTCTTTGGAGTGTACAACAGCACTTGAGAAGCATGTGCTTGCAGACGCCACATCTCATAAACTAGAAACAGAAGAATCAGAGGTAATCTCCATGTCTGTTTATACATTCCCTCAGCAATGGGAAATTGGACTGAGGTGATGATCCATTTATTAAAGCTTCAATACTCTCTTCTTTTTTTTCTATCTAGAACTTAAAGCTTTACTCCATTTATTTCCTTACAGAAGGTACCAATCGAGATAAGCCGGATTTCAGGCATTGTCTTGAATTTTTTCATTAGAATCACGTCCATCCTCCATAAGTCCTTTAAAGCTTCCATAAGAGTGATCTAATATATTCTTCCTCTTACTGAAAACTTCATCAGCCTTCCCTAAGCGAGAAAACTCATAGCCCTGGGTACTAATAAGCGAAAACCGATTTGATTCCCAGCACTCATCTTTGCCAGTGATTTTATCTGATTTACCTCCATCTATTTTCATATAGCTTTGGTATTCTTCATACTTACACCCTTTATCAACAAAGTGAGCAGAACTTTCGTACTGAAGTACTTGGCCACTTGAGATATTCCCAACTGTAATGCTTGCTAATGGAAAACCATCTGTAGAATACGAGAAGAAAATTAAGAAAACAAAACAAAATCCTTTTCCAATAAGTAGCTCAAGGAAAATTACTTCAGTATTAATGACGTTTTGCAATCAAACAAGACCACAAGGCTTTCATTCTGTAATATGTAGTTACAGGCTGATGGCCAATACCTCCACGCATACTGATAAAGTCATCATCCGAGTCAGACTCCAGAATACTCACTGAGTCAAACCAAGCTTCCTCTTGGCAAATTACTGCAAATGAATAACATTCAAAATATGAGATTCAAGAGCTATGAATTTTCTTGCCAGCACTATTGGTTGAAATTGAAAGATAGTTGAAATCTGATGAAAGAAAGCACACACCGTTCGAATCATATTGACTGTGGTGCCATTGCAGCTGGGTGAGATGGAATGTTGAATTAGAAACCTTAGATCTTCTGTGAGTAGTTGTTGCACCATTCTCAAAGTCCACATGAACAAACTCACTGACAACATAGTCACTCACGCGAGCTCCTGCATCACTATTTATTTTCTTAAAACTGGTATTTCTTTTCTTGGTATCATCTGAAGCGGAGCAGTTGCCTTTCTATGGCGTTTTTGATGACCCGCTGACAGTGTTTTTTCTGTGATTTAATTGTTTTGGATGGGGTTGACATGCAACCAGCCATTGTAGCTTTTAAATCATGCAAGTCCCAACTACAATGATGCCTTCATCAAGTCCACTCCAACCTGTGTGCCTACAAATGAAACAAAATACATCAGAGAAGATTAAAGGACTTCTGGGAAGCAGTTTCTATGATCACAAATAATCATGAGAACGCAATCAATTCTTTCATCATGGGACTGTTTCAGTAATTTATGGCTCAAACACTAGGCCAGTTAACCAACTTAACACTTGGAAATTATTAGAATCAAACGGATGACACACAGAGGTCTCTATGTTTAATGAGTATGGTTGCACTATTAGAAAGCACCTTGGTTAGAAGCGACTGGTAACTTGAAGCACTACACTAGTTATTCAATCAATTTGTAGATGAAAATTTGTGCAATCATCATAAAAATCAAATGTTTGATTCAAACCTTCTCAAACAAAATGGGATGTCTCTTTCCCAGTCCCATAGATAAGCCACTTATCTATCTCAAGCCCCAAATCTTTAGTTCTGGCTCACTAGAACATAAACATGATCAGAAAACAAAAAGATAGTACAACCACCTCAAGAACAACTCAACAAAACCTTAGTCCCTGTACTTGCTATTATCTACCTTTAGTTGCTATTATCTATGACAAGAAGCAAAGCACGACTATGTGTTTCTGTGTCTGTATATTCCCCAATTCTGATTCAGTCAGGATTTCCAACTAATCCAACTTAGGCCAAACCAGATTCCTAACAATTACAGACTAAAATCTCTATTGCTCCCTCTAGTAATAACTTTTCAACCACATCTTCCACATCTTTCTCTTTTCAGGATGCAAAATACATAATCAAAACCCAGTTTTCGTATAGCGGCCATCAGAAATTGAAACGATTTCATGATTGATCTAAAGAAAAAAAGAAAAAAAAAAAAAAAAAAAAAAAAAAAAACGGACCTAGACCCGCCTAGGCGGCCGCCTAGCGCCTAGGCCGATTTTTCCGACAGCCTAACTGAACAAAAGCACAGTTTATAGGTTTTGAGCTCTGATTATGAACATCATTACCGAATTTAACATTACAGAACAAAATCCACCACCTGTTCTAGATGTCTGTGCATCATAGATTTTCCAAAATAAACAAAATATAAAGATAATCTGGTTAAAACTACAAGTAATCTGAATGCATTCCACTAAAAAGCAGGAAGCAGAATAATTGGAGACTGAGCTTAGTGAAAAGAAAAACCTTGGGTTGAAGAAACTATCCCACCAGTCAGAGTCTGCGGCTTTGGGCTCGACTGGAACCAAGCTTAAGTTTTTCTTCAATTTCCTATCTTTCTTGCTTTTCTTTGATTTCTTGGGAGACGCCATGAGAGTTCAAATGAGGAATTGGCCACATCTTTTTTGGCCTTGAACTTGAAGACTTTTGATGGGAAGTGATTCAGTGAAGCGAGCCAGGCAGCGAGGGAAATGTAAAGCTCGTATAGCCATTTTTGGCCTTTTTATTTCTAATAAATAGTATAGCCGAACGGCTATACTATTTAAATATTATATATTTAAAAACGTATAGCCGTTTGGCTGTACTCTTTACATATAATATATTTTAAATGTATAATTTAAGAAGTAAGATGGTAGTTCAACTTATTTTTTGACCTTATTTTTCTAATCATTTAAGAAGTAAAGAAATATATATCTACTCAAATAAATAAGAGAACAATAAACACAAAAGATATTAAGCCAATCGAACCAACTATAGATATCATAAGTATCAAGCAGCAAAAAAGCTTAAAAGCAATGGAGCAGCAGCAGCTTCCATACATTCAACAATTATTCCCAGAAATTACTGAGCCAGAGCAAACAGTTCTTAGCAATCATATCAGCCCACAAATTCTTTGTGTTAATAGAAAATAAAAACATAAAAGGAAAGATCTTACTAACCAAGCCACCACCTTCATCGTCATCAAAATCACCACCATTTGCGCCAAGATCTTGCATTCCAGCTTGGTCTGTAACAGCTGACACCTAAATAGAAAAATGAGGACTCAGGTAGATGAACTCCCAAATTACTTAAAATATATGGTTTTAAGCAAAATCATCCGTTTGGGAAACCATAAGGATGCACAATTATGTAACAACGCAATGACTTCTGAAAACCTGAATCTAAAGCATCATTCTAAGTGGCAACTCTGATCCACCCTATAAATCTCAGAATGATAGCAGTCGGTGACACATTGCCACAACACATTCAAATATTTCAAAACAAAAAAGCAAAAGAGGCTTCTATTCAGGAAATACCACAATAACTATTTAAGACCATGATTCTAATAGTATCATCAACTAGTGCTTGTAGTTATCGGTAAAATTACGTGCTACAACAATCTGCACATTATGAGAAGTTCACCACATCAACTACGTGCTACTCAATGTGCGCATTAACAAAAACCCCAGCTCATGCACTATTGCACAGTAGGCCTGCTGGGTTTCGCTACCTTACAGTGATCACACTGTATAATACATTTGGACAATGAAAGGCTGAACAGAGTCACCAACAAAAAATTCCAACAATCAAATAAATACATGCCATGTCAAAAAAGCATCGCCAAATTAACCAGAGGTACTAACATACCAGTAACACACACAACCAAATTGATGAGCTTGGAAAGAGTACACAATGCAAGCATATTTCTGGAGGAAGAAGTATAATAACAATATAGTAATGTGCCATTACCTTAATTAGTCGACCTGCAATCTCCAATTTTCCATTCAAACTCAGTGCATTTCTGGCATCTTCAAGACGTGAGAACTGCAAGCAACTGATTCAATGAGTTTGATTTATTCAATACAATTACAAGGAATCATATCCAGCATCTGATAAGAACAACTGGAATGGAATTGAACTAAAAGGAAGGGGAAAAAAAACATTGCCAACCCAACTTGATTTCATTGGCCTTTCAGGTTTTAAAATATTGTAACCTGAAATTGTATGATGGGTTGACCCTTAACCCAACCCATGCCCGCACCTAGCTAAGGATTTGGCAGTTAGAAGTTTTTGGTGCCCACTCTTCTCAGTTTGAGTTGGGAAGAAACTTGAAAGACAATACACTAGATTCTTATAAATTCTGGTGCAGTAGAAGACCCAATCAAGAAAAGGTGTGCATTTGTTTAGAGTCGATTTCAAATTCCATCTCCAGCTACAACGAACCGGCAGTTGACAGTTTTCTTTTTCAAATTTCCCCTCCATGGATTTGGACTTGCAAATAAATATAAATGACCTTTGGCTTAATATAACTAGCTGCATGCAAATATTTATATATTTATTCTATATCCAGGCTGCTTAAGTTGAAAGTTGTAGTCAAACAGACCTGCACAAATCCAAAACCTTTGCTGTTGTTAGTTTCGTCAACAGGTAACTGAACCAGTTCTACAGGACCAAATGCTCCAAAAACCTGCATATATATATATATATATATCACATATTAAAGGGTGAAAGTCAAAATGCAAAAAATATTCACAATTACAAACACGAAATTAGGAAACTGTGAACAGAAGTGCTCAAAAGCAACCAAAAAAAATTACATAACCAACAGCAAGCTTGATTATGTACATTATCTGATGCCAACATTAGAACTGTGTCAGAAAAGTACTCACCTGGCGGAGATCGTCTTCTTTTATATTGGTATGGAGATTTCCAACATACAGCCTTCTAGCTCCGCCAGAATATGGGCCTATCATCCCACCTGGTCCGCTAACCACAGATGTTGATTCAACCAGATTCTTCTCAGCCTCTGATGGCTTCACCATCACTGGTTGACCAAGAAGAGGCTGACCAGAAAGTGCAATCGCCATAGGTACCGACATTGCATCATAAAACTCAATATACCTACAAACTAGAGAACATTAGACTCTTAGATAATCAAAAACCAATTGCCACATACAGATGCATATAATAGCAAAGTTTACTGGAGTCTCCACTCATAGTTCAAAACGGGGAAAGAAAAATGTCCTATATGATATATCTTATCATCTTGACCAACTAGAATAACCTATAGTATATACTATATGTACTGCTTTTAGTACAAAGGCGATCAATATCATCGAAAACTTTCTAAGATGATGATGCAAATTTTGAACATTATAAATGATGTGATGATTCTTTGTACTGCACAAGAAAACGTTGGAACAAGGAAGATGCAGCCATCAAGAAGGAAGCAGGAACTGCCAACCATTCCAAAAATGACCAAGCGACATTAAAAGGATAGTCTTATTTGAACCTTAGAATGAAATCTTTGGCTTATTGTCAACACAACCACATAAACTTTTTTCATTAACAACCGGATAATTTAAGACTCTCACATCATCTTAAACGCTACCATTGCATAATGGGTAATTGTTAAAGTGAACCTTCTGTTAACAACCATCCAAAGCTTTTGTCACCAAGACTTAAGAAAAACTTACCCAACTCCCTTAGAACGTCTTGAATTGCGATCCATAATGAGGCGTACATCGCGGACCTAAAAATACACAATTCAGAGCTATAAGATAGACAATCTTTTCACTGCATCATTTACGTGTCGATTAAATATCGGCTTTTCACGCAATAACTTACCGGTAAGTTATAGGCTTTTCGCTCAATCATTTACCTGACGATTAAATATTGGCTTTTCACGCCATAACTTACCGGTAAGTTATAGGCTTTTCACTCCATCACTTACATGATGGTTAAATATTTGCTTTTCACGCTATAACTTACCGGTTAGTTATTGGCTTTTTGCTCTATCACTTACATATTGAGCATAAAATTATCACACATGCATGCGCACTGATTTGATTGAAGTTGCCATTGTTTTTCGATCAATTTTAACATGCAAATACTAGTCATAACTCTTGGGGTTATTTTTTGTTATTTCAATCCCTAGTATGGACATGAATATATTAAATTAACAAAGACATAACTATTTTTCGGTAGAAAGGTTAAAGAGCGTGCTTTTGAAATTGCCAAGGCCATAGATGACGAAGATGGGTTGATAGGAGCATTGAATGCCTTTCATAGGCACTTTCCTCACAGTAAATCTGAGGATAAACCCGAGTCATTGCCTGCTAGAAGTGGCTTATTTTCCATCAGTAGGTGTTTTGGCTATTCCCATTTCAGTACACATCCCACGGCCTCTCCTCCACATTTGTAAGTTGGAGCAGTTTCTCTCTGTAATGAGGCTGACTTGAGTACCCTATAACAGAAAGAAAAGAAAAGAATACCCACAGATTCTCTTGTAATGACTGCAAAAAGATTCAGTCTCTAAGCCCCAAGTTGTTAGTGTGTCAACTAGCTGAAAATGCAGTTTCGTTTTAGTACACAAAATTGTATTTACAGGCTCCTTTTGCTCCACCATCCCCAACCAACAAACCACCAGTGATAGTGACATGTACATTTATCTTCAAGTTCTCAATCTTGTTGTTGCTATAACAATAATTGTAATAGACGAAGAATTTGCTAAACAGTTCTGTCTTAGTTTGCTGGACCACAGTTTGTCATAAAACTGTGCCAAAAAAAAAAAAAAGACTAAGACAAACATAATAAAAGAACAACTAAGGCAGCTTTGACGGGGAAAGAAAAAAAAACAATGACTAAGGGCGTTTGACTAAAACAACCAAAGTCATTCGAAGGTTGGAAAAAACTAAAAGGAGACAAGTCAATTTTTTCCTTGCGTAGAGCTCATCGATACGAGTTCATAGACACGTAGTGGGCCCAAATCGCAGTTTTAACGAAGAAGTTACGGTCAGCGGAAGCACAGTGGCACAATTGTAAATATTTCAAGGTCAGAATTTTAAAACCCAGGTCAGCTTCTTTTTCTCTCTCTTTCTCCTACCACGACTCTCTCTCTCTCTCTCTCTCTCTCTCTCTCCCCGTCGCAAAACAACATTTTCCGACGCTGAATCCGGCTTCGTCCGGCCACCGTTTTCGACGAAACGACTTGCAAACTTTTCCTCTCCTCCTCTTCTTGACCCACCCAATTTCAAAAACCCGGGTCTCACCCAGGTGCAACCGCGAGATAAAATATATTTTTGGACTCTAATTTGGTCATTGGGATCGAATCCTATTTATTAGATTTGTTAAGTTCGGTTTTGAATTTGTCGGTAGCCTGAAGGGATGTGGTTATAATGTGTTTGTGATTGTGTCGGGGCTGAAACCTATTTTAGATTGATGAATGATTGTGGATTGAGTCCTTACAACTACTTATGACTATGCTTGGAGGGTAGCTTGGTTTTTTCAAGCTTTATCTTTTAATTATTATTTTAAGTTTGAAATCCTAGTTAGGATGCATACGCCAGAGTTTCTTCATACTGCGTGCTCGTTAGTGGAGGCGCACCAGATTGTCTTAATTTTGATGTTTGGTAAAGTATTGGCTTTTCACTCGATAACTTACCGGTGAGTCGTAGTCTTTTCACTGCATCATTTACATGTCGATTAAATATCGGCTTTTCACGCAATAACTTACCGGTAAGTTATAGGCTTTTCGCTCAATCATTTACCTGACGATTAAATATTGGCTTTTCACGCCATAACTTACCGGTAAGTTATAGGCTTTTCACTCCATCACTTACATGATGGTTAAATATTGGCTTTTCACGCTATAACTTACCGGTAAGTTATTGGCTTTTTGCTCTATCACTTACATATTGAGCGTAAAATTATCACACATGCATGCGCACTGATTTGATTGAAGTTGCCATTGTTTTTCGATCAATTTTAACATGCAAATACTAGTCATAACTCTAGGGGTTATTTTTTGTTATTTCAATCCCTAGTATGGACATGAATATATTAAATTAACAAAGACATAACTATTTTTCGGTAGAAAGGTTAAAGAGCGTGCTGTTGAAATTGCCAAGGCCATAGATGACGAAGATGGGTTGATAGGAGCATTGAATGCCTTTCATAGGCACTTTCCTCACAGTAAATCTGAGGATAAACCCGAGTCATTGCCTGCTAGAAGTGGCTTATTTTCCATCAGTAGGTGTTTTGGCTATTCCCATTTCAGTACACATCCCACGGCCTCTCCTCCACATTTGTAAGTTGGAGCAGTTTCTCTCTGTAATGAGGCTGACTTGAGTACCCTATAACAGTAAGAAAAGAAAAGAATACCCACAGATTCTCTTGTAATGACTGCAAAAAGATTCAGTCTCTAAGCCCCAAGTTGTTAGTGTGTCAACTAGCTGAAAATGCAGTTTTGTTTTAGTACACAAAATTGTATTTACAGGCTCCTTTTGCTCTACCATCCCCAACCAACAAACCACCAGTGATAGTGACATGTACATTTATCTTCAAGTTCTCAATCTTGTTGTTGCTATAACAATAATTGTAATAGACGAAGAATTTGCTAAACAGTTCTGTCTTAGTTTGCTAGACCACAGTTTGTCATAAACTGTGCCAAAAAAAAAAAAAAAAAAGACAAATATAATAAAAGAACAACTAAGGCAGCTTTGACGGGAAAAAAAAACAAAGACTAAGGGCGTTTGACTAAAACAACCAAAGTCATTCGAAGGTTGGAAAAAACTAAAAGGAGACAAGTCATTTTTTTCCTTGCGTAGAGCTCATCGATACGAGTTTCATAGACACGTAGTGGGCCCAAATCGCAGTTTTAACGAAGAAGTTACGGTCAGCGGAAGCACAGTGGCACAATTGTAAATATTTCAAGGTCAGAATTTTAAAACCCAGGTCAGCTTCTTTTTCTCTCTCTTCTCCTACCACGACTCTCTCTCTCTCTCTCTCTCTCTCTCTCTCTCCTCGTCGCACAACAACATTTTCCGACGCTGAATCCGGCTTCGTCCGGCCACCGTTTTCGACGAAACGACTTGCAAACTTTTCCTCTCCTCCTCTACTTGACCCACCCAATTTCAAAAAACCCGGGTCTCACCCAGGTGCAACCGCGAGATAAAATATATTTTTGGACTCTAATTTGGTCATTGGGATCGAATCCTATTTATTAGATTTGTTAAGTTCGGTTTTGAATTTGTCGGTAGCCTGAAGGGATGTGGTTATAATGTGTTTGTGATTGTGTCGGGGCTGAAACCTATTTTAGATTGATGAATGATTGTGGATTGAGTCCTTACAACTACTTATGACTATGCTTGGAGGGTAGATTGTGCATGCTGAAGTGTGGACATTTTAAACTGTGTTTTTGACAGGTTGAAAAATTTGGTTAAGTCCGTTTTTCAAGGGAGACTCTGCCGAAATTTCGGTAGAAGTCTCGGCCCTCTTTTCCTTTGTTTTAGGGGAAGAGGACATTTGAAATCAGTAAGTGGGCCCGGTATCGGTTGGATGTCGAAAATACCACAGGATCCGTCACGGATTCCGAGGAATTCGGGGCGAGTCCTGTCATTTTATTTGTATTGTTATAGCTTGGTTTTTTCAAGCTTTATCTTTTAATTATTATTTTAAGTTTGAAATCCTAGTTGGGATGCATACGCCAGAGTTTCTTCGATACTGCGTGCTCGTTAGTGGAGGCGCACCAGATTGTCTTAATTTTGATGTTTGGTAAAGTATTGGCTTTTCACTCGATAACTTACCGGTAAGTTGTAGTCTTTTCACTGCATCATTTACATGTCGATTAAATATCGGCTTTTCACGCAATAACTTACCGGTAAGTTATAGGCTTTTCGCTCAATCATTTACCTGACGATTAAATATTGGCTTTTCACGCCATAACTTACCGGTAAGTTATAGGCTTTTCACTCCATCACTTACATGATGGTTAAATATTGGCTTTTCACGCTATAACTTACCGGTAAGTTATTGGCTTTTTGCTCTATCACTTACATATTGAGCGTAAAATTATCACACATGCATGCGCACTGATTTGATTGAAGTTGCCATTGTTTTTCGATCAATTTTAACATGCAAATACTAGTCATAACTCTAGGGGTTATTTTTGTTATTTCAATCCCTAGTATGGACATGAATATATTAAATTAACAAAGACATAACTATTTTCGGTAGAAAGGTTAAAGAGCGTGCTGTTGAAATTGCCAAGGCCATAGATGACGAAGATGGGTTGATAGGAGCATTGAATGCCTTTCATAGGCACTTTCCTCACAGTAAATCTGAGGATAAACCCGAGTCATTGCCTGCTAGAAGTGGCTTATTTTCCATCAGTAGGTGTTTTGGCTATTCCCATTTCAGTACACATCCCACGGCCTCTCCTCCACATTTGTAAGTTGGAGCAGTTTCTCTCTGTAATGAGGCTGACTTGAGTACCCTATAACAGTAAGAAAAGAAAAGAATACCCACAGATTCTCTTGTAATGACTGCAAAAAGATTCAGTCTCTAAGCCCCAAGTTGTTAGTGTGTCAACTAGCTGAAAATGCAGTTTTGTTTTAGTACACAAAATTGTATTTACAGGCTCCTTTTGCTCTACCATCCCCAACCAACAAACCACCAGTGATAGTGACATGTGCATTTATCTTCAAGTTCTCAATCTTGTTGTTGCTATAACAATAATTGTAATA